GCTACACCCACACCTACATTATTACGCCCGTGATGCCCAGTATACTGACTACATGGAGGCATTGTGCTGTGGAGCAGTGGGTAGCAAACATTCTCTTTAACAGGTTAATTAGTAAATATTTTAGGCTTTGTGGCCATACAATCGCTGGAACTACTCCACTCTAGTTGTGGCAAAGAAGCAGACACAGACAACACTAAATAAATAGGTGTGGTTTTCAATAAAGCCTGGCTTTAAAAAACAGGTGCTGGCTGAATCTGGCCATAGCTGTCAATCTCCACTTGAGGGTCCTAGGGTAGAAGCAAACAGCATTTGGGGAAGCATTTCTACATTAGACAGAAACTATAGGAGGCTGTGCTGTTGATGAGGCTGAATCTCAGCTAGTTCTTTCACCTATAAAAGATACTCTAGTTTTGAAATTTCATCTGGTCCTAAGAAAGGATTTCAATGCAAGTAGTGTCCCTTAGGGTTACGTTCCAAGACCTCTAGGAGATGCCTAAACTCCTTATATATATTTTCTCTTCTGTATACATACTTATGATAATGTTTATAAGTTAGGCACGGTAAGAGCTTAACAACTCATGAAATAGAGCAATCGTGATATACTGTAATAAAGGTTTAAAACTTACAAATTTCTGGAATTTTCCATTCAGTATTTTTGGACCCTGGTTTACTGTGGTGACTGACACCGTGGATAACAGGGAACTAGTTGTACCGTATCAACCTACACATGCTCCAGGCCACTTACCCTCTGTCTATGGAATAGGGTGGAGACACAGGCCAGTGAAACTTATAGGTAGAGAAATGTTTTAGAAGACTGACAGATGTTTCCTTTTACCCCTCAATACCCAGCAGTCCTTTCCTGAAGACGCTAAGTAGAAAATACACCTAGGGAAAGAAAAGCAACCTGCTCATCGTAATATGTATCATTGGCCATTCGATAAATACAGAACCTAGGGAACTTATCTCACTCTGTCCCGTTAAACTCTCCTATAAATGCCAACCATTCTAACCTCTTAAACTCTCATCAGAGTCCTTCTTATCCTTTAAAAGTTAAAATAAGCTACATAATTAAATAGATCTAATTTATGGCCTGCATTTAAACTATCAACCACCTACTGAATTTTCTTTGTAATTTTAGTTTTTCTACATGGTAAACACCGAAGTAGACTATCACAGCTTTGCGTGTAACCTTTTAATTGTATGATGCACTGCAGATATATATATATTAGTGAAAAATGATGAATTTTTTTAATTGACCCATATTGCTCTGGATTGTTAGGTTTACATTTGTACTTGAAGTAGAGAAAGATACACTGGCCCTTATTTTGTGTTTGCTCCTGCAAGTTCTCTTCCTCTGGAAGGACTTCTTTTGCTGTCATCCCCCCTTGTCCATATTCTAAGTGTTCTTTTAAGCCTAGCTAAGAGCCAGCCCTCCATGTAGCCTTCCCTGATCCCCAACAGTGCTTTTTAGGAGCTTTCCAAAGACACGAATCACGTGCTTCTATTTTATAGCTAACTGTGCTCCGCTCTTTTATGATAAAGACTGTGTCTTACACCTTTGTGAATTCCTGCTCCTGCAAGAATGCAGTACAGTGTTTTAAACACAGGTGTCTGAATGGCTGACTCCTAAGTTTCTCTGAGCAAATTGCCTCTGAATGGCAAGAACTGGGCTTTGTTTCCTGACCCACATTCATGAAGACTGTTTCCATCTACATCCTCCAGCTATGGTGCTCATCAGCGTGACATTTCGCAGCACCTTCTTTCTGTGCTATGCACATTTAAAGAGTTTTAAGAAACTAAGTTTTCTCATCTCACAGCTGCTTTATAGAGATTAACAGCTTCTTATGGCTGCTCAGTAAGGAAAGAACCTTACACTGTACACAGGAACTACCTAATGAATTTGACCTCTAATGAACATGATCCATTTTCCAAGGACCCGAGTAATCCAGAAAGACAACAGAGGATTAAGGTAGAGAGGCAGGGGTGTCTCATAGAACAAGGGACCCAAGAACTAATGAGACCTTCTCAGGAAGTTACAGAATCAGGACTAGTGTCAGACTGCAGACTTGCAGAATGGGAAGGAATTTCAAAGACTACCCAGTCCATTCCTCTTATTTCACTCCTGGGAACAACAACAGCTTTCAGTTAAGTTAGTTAATCTTGGCTTTGGTTAAGTTGGTTAATGCACATATCTGGACATTTAAAGCTTCTGAATAGACGACAGCATTACTAATTCATTTTAGAGGACTCTGTCCTACCGAAGGAGTTAAATTAGCATTCCTCAAAAGATCTGGACCCGAGGGTTATTTTACATGAACACGCTGACTTCCCGAAGCCATAAGAAAAGCAGACTCCTGTTTCTGCGTGTTCCAGACACAATGTTCAGCCTGTGGTCAGTACAAACTTCCATGGAGCTCCTTAACAGATGAGACAGGATCCATCCACAGACAACACTTATGTTCAGGAGTCAGATTTTTAAAGAACGGTGGTATAATTTTAAGAGACTAATGTTTTGAAACTTACCAACTTACTAAACAAGGGGGAAATAACTACATGTCTAAGCCATCTGTCTTGATCCACAGGCTTATCTTAGATTCCCAAGGAGTGTGATGAAGATGGTGTGGTGGGTGTGGACATCAAAGACCTTGACAAGAAAGCCAGACTCACAAGGGCAGCACTAGGGACAGCAGTTGAGAGCGGCGCGTCCCCCAGCCCCTGCCTGATGTTGGGGCTCAGTTTCCTCTGTGCTTTCCTCCCCTGTACAGATGACCCATGCACATGAAAGGAACATACCAGTAATACTCTACTGCAAGGAGTTCTCAGGAGCTGTCCTGAGAACTATTAACAACTACAAATGATCTGCAAGCTCACTGTGGTGTGTGGGTGTGGTGGCGCACACCTGTAATTCCAGCACTCAGAAGGCTGAGGCAGGAGCATCACTGCGAGTTCAAAGCCAGCCTGGGCTACAAAGTGAGCTCTAGACCAGCCTGAACTGCACAGTGAGACCCGGTCTTGAATAAAAAAAGGATCTGCAAAATGTCAAGTCCTGTTGTACAGACAATGCAGACAAGAAGGGTCTTGCCTGGAAAGCATAAGATCATTTATATCATTCACAGCAATACTCTGGCCCTATCTTCTCTTTCCAATTACCTGAGGAAATTAACATGTTCTGCCTAAACTCTTTGTTCCCTATCTCCCCACCTTTGCAGTTTTTAATTATTTAAGAACCCCAGGAAATGGTGGCACGCATCTATAATACCAGCTATGGGGAGTTTGAGGCAGGAAGACCCCAAGTTCAAGGTCGGACTGGGCAACTTAGTGACACCTTGTCTCAAAAAGAAAAAAAAAAAAAACAAAACCAAAAAGAAAACCAAGTGGGGTGATGTCTAATACCACAAAATAAAAACAAAAACAAAACCCTCAGTGTACATGTAAGAGGAAAGAGAACAAGGTAAATCCCCATTCATCCATCACCCGGCCATTTAACCACAGTGAGCTCATGGCTAACCTTATCTGTTAGTATAACCCACCCCGATCTCCACTCCCCCAAAACCTGAGGCATCATTTTGAATCGGATCCAAAATCTATTCCATTCTCATAGGAAACATGTAAATTTAAACTTATATTTATTTACCCTCTCCTTCCTCCCTCCCTTCTCCCTTTTTTTCCCTTTTATGGTGCTTGGGATTAAACGTAGGGCTTGGCACACACTAAGTCAGCACTCTACCACTGAGCTATGTCCCCAGATTCCATTTTACATCCTTGCTTCAACATGCCTGATGTAAATTATTCACAACAACAAAACTGACTCAACATTGGAGGTGCGTTTAGGGCTCGACAAACAACGATTCAAACAAAAAAAGGACAAGTCAGAGGCGGAGGAGGCCTCTAGAAGCACCTGTTGTGGGCACTGCTGTATCCGGTGGGCTTCCGGAGGAAGGGGCACTTCTCACCTGTACCCGCGCAGGTCTGCTCTCTACCTCCAGGCCTCCTTCCTACTGTGGAGGGCATAACCACTTCAGTACTGAGCTACCACTGTGAAACCTTGGTTCCTCCAGTCACAACAGATCTTTCTTTTCTTCGCTTTGTGGCACACAGCAGGTGTGCAACGAACACTTATACCCGACATGCATGGGACACAGGATATACTCCTTTCTGCCTTGTATCTTACAGTTTTTCACATTTGTCTCCCACTGAATCCCCAATGCTGGATGAAAAAGGTATTGTATATGAAATCAAGTCTGCATGCCATATACCTGAGACATTCACCTGTACACAGTAGGTGCTCAACAAATGCCTCATGAATGGAGAGACTTGAGGGGAAGAGTTTGCCTTGCCAAACCAGGCATGAGGCTTTTGGAGAATGATTTCATGTCAATTATGAGCGGACTAGTCAAAATGGAATGAGTAGATTTTTCTTCACTGGTTTCTACTGCTTTCTTGTCCTATGTAAGCAGATTTGAACTTGTCATTATAAAATAAAAGGAATTTGGGAGTGGTCTCCTCTGTCCAAAAGTCCGGGCAACACCTGCCTCCAACCCCATAATCCTTTTTTTCCTTTCCTGCCCCCTCTCAAGGTGAAAGCTACCCATAGGATGGAATTACAGGCATGAATCTGAGACAAAGATTCTTTATGCTGTGTCTGGTCATTAATTAGCTGCTAGAAACTTCAGGACAGGGCTATTAGCATGCTCATAAACCTTTTATTTTAAATGTTTTCGCTTAGCCACGATTCTGATGTGACTCTCCTTGTAAGCTGGACCTAGGACATTTGTTTCTTAACATTTCTGAGGCTCATTAACTACTCCCTCCCCGTGGCTCATTAACCAGGCCATTAGGGATTTTGCCTCATCCAGGCTGAAGCCTCCACTTGGCCTCCCAGAGCCATTGCAGGCACACAAATGACAACAGTGTGAAGCCAGCTGCAAGGTTCTGAGGAGGGAGGAGGGCTGTGTCAGGTCCCCTGATGCTCAGGCAGCGACGGGGGCGAGCTCACTCACCTGCTATTCTCCCAATTGGCATGGCGTGCTCTTCCGGCGGCGACACTGAGACCATGATGTGGTTCATGTAAGCCAGGTCTTCCCGGTGGGAGAGGTTGATGGGCTTCCCTTCCCTGTGCAGCCCGTCCTCAGAGAGCCTGGACTGTTTGAAATCCACGGAGTGCCGGGGGTTCAGGATCAAAGGGTGCATGATGGGACTGGGCATCAGCTGGATCACTCGGGTGCTCTCCTGCCGGGGGCTGGAGGGCTTCGGGTGGGACTCGGAGGATGGCGGGCAGTGATTATTCTCCATGGGAGACACTGACAAAGGGTAGGACTCCTGGTGGTTGTTCTCCTGGTGGAGCCTCGGTCCCTGCGCCCTCTCAGCCGGGGAGAGGCGGCGGATCATATTGTCCAGGGGGGACCGGAGGGGCCGCTGCTCCGGGTCGGGAGAAGGCCGGTGATTTGTCGTGATGGGTGACCTAGGGCGGTGCAAGAGTTCAATAGTGGGAGGGTTGTGGTGCACAGTCTCCACGGATGGCCTGGGGGTCCTCTGGACACAGTTATCTGTGGGGCAGGGAAAAGACAATCAGACCCCGTAAACTGGCAGGCCAGTGGCCTCATGGTGGCTCTAAAGGCAGCTGGACCTGTTCACAAAGCTCCCTTCTCCCTGGGACGCAGCTCTTTCTGTTGCTTACACAGAAGTCAAGTATACATACTTGAAATTGTTTTCCTATTGCTGCGCAAGCTAGGAATGTCTACAAACACTGGAGCCGCCACCTGGATGCCGATAAACACAAGCCCAACTTCCGTCCTTTCTCATCTCACCTGACTCTTCCATGTGGGTTTCAGAGAGGCGAAGGGCCCTTAGAGAATTTTCTAACTGACTTAGAGAATATGAAAAATTGGCTGTAAGAATCTATGTCCAGGAGTTGTTATTGCTAATCATGATCATGACTAACACTGATGATATTTAGGCACTAGACTTTGTTTACAACTTACTCTTAAGCAGAACAGATCACTACTGCTCCTATTTTATAGATGATAAAACGGAGCCAATTTACCCAAGGTCACACAACCAATTGAGAGATCAAAAGCTGAGTCCACACAGATTGCAGAATTTCTATACACACTGCAATAGCACTTTGTCACGTAGAAACTAGGGCACAAAGTCCTATCAAAACTTGGTTTCAGCATGAACAGAAGAAGTCTTTTACAGAACAATAACCTTGTGTTTGAGAGACTTTTAGGAGCACCTCATTGCTGAGTGCACAGACCCTACAAATGTCAGAGACAGGCACAGATAAAAAGAAGGATGGATGGATATCCCAACAGCACATGCGCCCCACCCCACTTGAATTTACAAGCTCCTGAGGACAAAGTCAAAAGTGTGTATAGCTCAGTAATCGGCGTAGCTCTGGGGGTTGGCTCAGGGATACACCAGCACAAAGGTAGGCTCTGGGATCCCTGCTAAGGCTCAGAAGGACAGGGATCTGCCCATGAAATGGCATTTTCTAGAGGGTTTCACATTCATCTTAATGAATTCTCTGGTCACATATGTTCTACATCCAACTTAAGGAATTCTCTGGTCACATATGTCCTCTGAGCTGTCTCACCAAAAGGTTCTAAGTATAACAAGTCAAAGATGTCACCTTTGACCACTGAAGACAGTATCTACATAAAGAACTCATAAAGGAGATATGGGAATCTGACAAGGCCAGTAAACAGAGGCAGGGGTAGTGCTTTCTTCAGATTTGACACTGGAAAATAAGAGATTTTTTTTTTTAAGTTCCACTAGATCTCATCTAGCACATAAGGTAGTAAACAAAGGAAATATTGTTCATGATATTAAAAGATCATCTTAAAGGCAAAGACGATCTTATTTTGTGACTAATGTGTAATTTGCTGCCATAAATTCAAAAGTGCTTAATCACTGGCGTAGCTATCAATACAAAACTTTTAAAGTAACTTATAATATGTCTCTAAGCAACGGACTGCTATGTAAGTATATAAAAGAGTAAGGAGAATCTCAGTATTTTGCCAAGTACTAGCATCCAGGTTCTATGGTTAGATATGAAAAGAGCGATGAAATATTTATGATCTGCCATCACTTACCTATAACGGAGAGGAGAGATTCCAATTTTAATAATGGCTGAGTGGCTTGTACCAGACTAACTTTCCTACAGCTAGAAATGATAGAATCTGGATAAAATATGTTTGTAAAAAACTATGTGAAGACAGGGAATGATGAAAAGCACACAGAAATTGAAGGGGATTTTATTCTTGAAAGGAGGAAACTGTACAGAGAGACATATATTTATACAGATTTCCCCTGAGAGTGCTCGCCGGCCTACATGGCAGAGGGCAGTTACAAGATGAACAGATCAGTGCATGAGCTGTCACAGGATAAAATTTATAGATGATAGAATGGCAGAAAATTGTAGGAGCCTCCGAAGGGACGGCTATAGAATGCCATATGAACATTCTCTCAAATTCTCATCTGCCTCTTGAAAAACATCTGTAGGGGAAACACTAAGGAAGCCCCTCAAAAGCAAGAGTTGCATAGTTGAAAGACATGAGCAGAAATCTCAGCTACTGGTTACTGAAGTAGATACAAAAGTTCATAATTTGAGTCTCATCAAGTTAGAAGGGTCTGTAAATACGACAGGGTATCCATTACCTTATAATGGCCGCATCTTAGGGCAAAACTGAAACAGGTTTGCCCTAATGAAATGTAAGACCGAGACTGCACAAGTTCAAAGTGACTGCTAATAAATTAACTGCCTGGTATTACAAAAGTCAACACTCCAGAGGAATATAACACTTCAAAGTCCCTATAATGTGTTATCTATATGTTCAGTATTTCATAAAAATTTTCTAGACATGAGAAGAAATAGAAAATGTGGCCTACACTCCAGAGCAAGGCATTCAAGACAAACATCTTGAAATCACTGAGATGTTAGTACTAGCAAAGGACATTAATGTAGCTATTCCAAATAAATTCATGCATTTCAAGGAAATGATGGCCACCATGCGTGACATCAGAAACTATCAAAATGGAAACTGTTAAACAAAAAGAAGATCCTGGCACTGAAATATACAGTATCAGAGATGGGAAATTAGATTGGAGGAACTTAATAGCATACTGGAGATGAGAGAAGAAAGGGTTAGAAAATTTGAAATCAATAAAAATTAAAAACAAGCAAATTACAACATCAAGTCATCTAATAAACAGGTAACTCCTGGAGTCCAAGAAGGAGCATGCAGAAAGAATGGGGGAGGGTGTTAATGGTCAGACTGTACTCAAATATAGTAACAAAGACAACAACATCATCACCACCACCAAAATCATCATCAACAACAAGCTTAAAGATTCAAGAAGCTTAGAGAACCCCAAGCAGAGTACAACACGATGACAACCACACTCAGGCACACTACAGTCAAACTGCTGGAAACTGAAGTTAAAGAGAAAATCTTGAAAGTAGCTGGGAGAGGTGGCGGTGGTGGTGGTAAGCAGGAGGAATAGGTTCAGCATCCTTAATCCAAAGCATGAAACTTTTCGAACATCTACGCAATCTTACACAGAAAATTCTAAGCCGTGAAATTTTGTTTCATCAACAAAATTATTTAAAACATTTTATTAAATTACCTTTGTGTTCTGTGCATAAGAAACACAAATGAGTTTTATGTTTAGACTTGGGCCCCATTAACCAAACTATCTCATTAGTAAGTATTCCAAAATTTGAGAAGAATCCAAATTCCAAAGCACTTGTGGACCCAAGCATAAGGGGTATTCAACCCATACCATGTACAGGGAAAACATTCTTTTTAACAACCCAGGGAGCGAAAGTGACAGTCCTCAAACTTGCAAAAGAAGGCTATGGATGGGAAACTATGGGTTGAAAGAGACTTAAGAGACACATCAACCTCTTGCAGTGTTTAGAGTGTTTGGATTCTGACTCAAACTGTAAAAAATATTTACAAGATAGTTGGAAAATGTGAATTACTGGTTTTCAGGTGATGTGCTCATATTGTATTTTATAGAGTCCTCATCTTGTTAGACCTATACTAATATATTTACAGATAAAATGATATATCTGGGTTTTGCTTTAACATAACCTCGGAGAGCGAAGGAGGGAGTAGGTGAAGGACAGAGGAAACAAGATTGGCCATGAATTGATGACCAAAACTGGGAGTGGGTACATGGGGCTTCATTATACAATTCTCTCTACTTTGGTATAGGTTTGATACGTTCCATTACAAAGAGTTTCTTGTTTAAGTACTTAATCAACCCTGCGAAGGTACAGCTTGGAATGACAAACACCAACTTTCTCATTTTGACCCAAATGCATATAAATGTATTCAGGATACTGACTAGGCCGATGGAGTTACAGAGTTAACTGTAATGGCTAAGATTTAATAATCTTATGATAGAAATGATCTGCAGTCTTCTGGGGATAGGGCGAGGTTTTTTTTTTTTTTTTTTATAGCTAATATGGATTTCAATTCTGCTGCCCATAAAAACGAATTTATCTTTTGTCCATGTTTCACTTTTCATTTTTCACAGAACATGATCATTGGAAGTAACTACTCCAGACAGTTTCATTTTGAACTTCCATATATTTTTTTCTAAACGCCATTTTCAGAATGTCTTTCTTTACTTAAAAGCTTATTAAGCTTTAAAAATACTTAAGGATGATAAGACCATGTACTGAAAAAAAAAAAAATCCCATTTCCTGAATTCATTTCCCGCCTTATAAATTTCACAATGGACAGGGGCGTTGGTCAGTAATCTGGTTACCTGCAGCCTTTCTTTGAAGTTCTGGCTTCAAGGCACAGCGTGTGGGTGTGCACCCAGGGCAAGGAACTCTCATGCCAAGGGTAAGAGAGGAGCTGATGTAATGTCCTGGAGAGATTTCACTCTCTGTTCCTGCCCAGATCTTTGGGAACAATGAAGGAGTGAGACAGTGCTCTAGATAATTCAACTCAGATTTTACTTCTAACTCAGGATCCGGGCAGGAACAGGACTTGGAGGAGCTTGATTTATTTACCTCTCTGCAGACACCACTCAAAGAGGAAGTACTTGATGAAGTTGATAACATTAATGGTGGAGAACTGGATCTGAGGGTATTTAATTCCAGGCTCCTGGTGGTCTGGGCATAACCACTGTCAAGGCTGAAAGGTCTGTGATGACACCTTCCAGGCTTTGTTTCAGTCTGCAAAGCATGCTCCCACGTATGGAGTGGAGCAGGCTGTGACGTCCTGCCCTACTGCCTGCTGCTGCTGTTATTATAAGTTGGCAGCAGGGTATGGAAACTTATGAGACCAGAGCCGGCAGGCAGAGAAGCTCCGGACACAGGAAATGCACTGTGTGGACAGTGGGTGCATTAAATCCCCCAGATGTAGGAGTCTTCTGTCTAAAATATGAAGATTTTTTTTTTTGGTCTGGCCTTGATGTCTGGGTTTGTTCTTGGTAAGCTGCCCAGCTGGGAAACTGGGAAATGGTCCACATTGCCCTCCTTTCTGAAGGTCTTGATATGGGAGGGAAATACACAAGGAAGAGGGAG